TAAAAATCAATTGTAAAATTCATATAGTAAAATCTAGTAAAGTAATTTAAAATGCTTTTCTTTAGGTAAATGTACATATTTTTATTTTGAACTAACAATTAATATGATTGCTAAACATATGAAGACACAAATTTTCAATTTAAAATAAAATTTGCTTAATCTTCTAAGATAAAAAACAATTTTACAATTACTTCATTTACTTCATTTACTTACATTTACATTACTTTACCATGATGTGTGACATTTTAAAGTAAATTTGTTCGTTTATGAAAATAAAATGCAATTTAAGTAAAATGAAAAATATTACTATGTCATTGTCTATATATTATTATTTTATAATTTAGTAACTTTTTTTATCCAAAATTTAAATAAGTTTTTAAATATTGTTTTTGATAAATTAGCTTCTAAGAGACTGAAAAAAAAATCACATACTTCATAATTATACCAACAAAATTATTTTATTTTAGAATTTGAGTTTGAAGTTTAAATAAAACATATTTTATCTCAAAATGTTAGTTCAAGAAAACTTGAATTTTACGCATCCATAAATTAGATTAAAAAAATAATTTTAAATAGCTCATTATCATTGGGAAATAAATACAATTTAGTCATAAATTGTGAAAATGAATATTTTATATAAAATTTAATATGTAAATTTGTTTTTTTTTTTAGGCGTGTACAATTAATTGCAGCCATACATTTTGTGAAATTTGTTTAAATATTTGGTTGAAAAATAGTCAAGTGTGTTNAAAATTAATATTATTTTTATTTTTGTCCATCAGATATATAAAAAGTCATTTACATAATATTAACATAGGTATTTACTATATACTAAAATCCCAGCCCCTCATTATAGCTTCACCTGGAACAGATTTTACGTTTTTTTTGCTTTAAAATTCCGATTTTTTTTTACTGCGGTCTCCACACAATCTCATATCCGCAATGTTGTATTTTATTCTACTAATATGTAATTTTGTTAGGGAGTTCCATAATTTCTTGAAATTACATGAATTTGATTATAGGAATGATTCTTAGGAAGGCGTACTTTTAATATACAGAAATTTACTGAACAGGATCTTTATTAGCCGTATGCTGCGTANATCGGGAAAAAGTACAACAAGAAAGTAAGTATATTTGAACATTTATTAACTTATATTTATTGTTATAACTATTTTTAGAATTGTCAGTTAATGTCCCACGAGTAGAGTATGCACCACAAACTGCTAGAAGAGGTGGTAGAAAAAGAGGTACAACTCAACGTCGAAATACACAACCTGCACATGTTCAATAAGAAATAGTGCAAAGAATACATGAAGTTATGTTTTGATAAATACCTGAATTTTTGACTGATGTAATACATTTTAAACTTTCCAAAAGAAAAATTACTTTTTACTCTTTCATATTTTTAGAAAAATTGAACAAAATATAATTAAATAATTATAATTATTCATGTGAATTTTATAAATAATTTTAGTTTGTTTTTGTACAACTTAGTTTAATAAACTCATACTACATATGTAATATTTAAACTTTGAATTTAAAATTGTTAAATTTTATATAAAATTAAGATAATTTACCTTATTGTTAAAANACTATAATCGAATCATAATAATCATAGACTGTAATATTTATTTAAAAAACCATTATAAATTTTGTAATAATTTTGATTATAAGTAATGTTTCAGTAAATAAACCATTACGTTATGATACTAAATTAAGTTCAAAAATATTCTTCGACTTAATATGTTATCAAAATCGTTTTTAGTTAAAATATAACTGCAAGCGCAACTCGTCAAGATTTTATCTCGCATCTAGCGGAATAAATATGATTAGAAGTGTACTTTTGTAGGTATCCGATAAAGAGTCTTTAATAAAAGAAAAATTTTTTTTAACTACGGCAGCCGTTTACATGCAGAAGATAAAGTGTCGGGACAAATTTTTTTTTTCATTTTATAGCACGTAAAATAAGCTTTAATTTGATATATGTTTAAAGGACGCAGTATTTTCAAAACATTTTCAAAAATTAAGTTGAAAAAGTTGGTTTTTGTAAAAAAGTTGCTATTTTAAATCCCCCCCCCATGACCAGGTGTTAAATTTTCAAAAAAATGATATCAAATGAAAGGGAAATATCTAAGGATTNATTAAATCATGGAGCAAAAAAATATACTCCTAAAATTAGTATTATTTTTATTTTTGTCCATCAGATATATAAAAAGTCATTTATATAATATTAAGATAGGTATTTACTATATACTAAAATCCCAGCCCCTCATTATAGCTTCACTTGGAACAGATTTTACGTTTTTTCTGCTTTAAAATTCCGATTTTTTTTTACTGCGGTCTCCACACAATCTCATATCCGCAATGTTGTATTTTATTCTGCTAATATGTAATTTTGTTAGGGAGTTCCATAAATTCTTGAAATTACATGAATTTGATTATAGGAATGATTCTTAGGAAGGCGTACTTTTAATATACAGAAATTTACTGAACAGGATCTTTATTAGCCGTATGCTGTGTATATACAGTTATGCACCTAAAAATTCTGCTATCATTTTTGGTTTCGAACACTGGTCAAGTCCCTCAATATCTTACCTCTTACTCACAAATATTTTGTTCAAAATCTATTTATGAAACGGGGAAATGTTCAATGAATGCTATGGGACATTAGCCACTCAGAAATTTCAATCAAACACCTCAAGTTTAGATTAATTTCAAACAATACGACAAAATTTAAAAGCTATAATCGAATCATAATAATCATAGACTGTAATATTTATTTAAAAAACCATTATAAATTTTGTAATAATTTTGATTATAAGTAATGTTTCAGTAAATAAACCATTACGTTATGATACTAAATTAAGTTCAAAAATATTCTTCGACTTAATATGATATCAAAATCGTTTTTAGTTAAAATATAACGGCAAGCGCAACTCGTCAAGATTTTGTCTCGCATCTAGCGGAATAAATATGATTAGAAGTATACTTTTGTAGGTATCCGATAAAGACTAGTGAGGGGCATTTTCAAATATTTTAAACTATCGAATAGTATTCAATAGTTTTTTAAAACTATCGAATAACTATTCGAATAGTTTTTATACAACCGAATAGTTTATTTTTAGCATAAACTGTTCGAATGGGCTACCGAATGGTTTTAAAAAATATTCAATTAGTTCTACCTAAAATTTTTTATTAAGTACACTTAATTGTAATAAGAAGATAATTAACGAATACTTATAGATAAATTATTATATAATTAATAATAGTAAAAATTAGTGATTCGCATTTTCAAATATTTTAAACTATCGTATAACTATTCAAATTGTGTTTATACAACCGAATAGTTTATTTTTAGCATAAACTATCGAATAGTTTTAAAAACTATTCGAATATTTTTTGAATGACTATCGAATAGTTCGAATAGTGGACAACTATCGAATAGTTCGATAGTTTCTATTCGATATTTCCCATCACTAGTTTTTTTTAACTACGGCAGCCGTTTACATGCAGAAGATAAAGTGTCGGGACAAATTTTTTTTTCATTTTATAGCACATAAAATAAGCTTTAATTTGATATATGTTTAAAGGACGCAGTATTTCCGGAACATTTTCAAAAATTAAGTTGAAAAAGTTAGTTTTTGTAAAAAAGTTGCTACTTTAAATCCCCTCCCATGACCAGGTAAAATGTTAAATTTTCAAAAAAATAATATCAAATGAAAGGAAAATATCTAAGAATTTAGTATAAAAAAAAATTATGTTGATTTGTTTATTTTTGAAAAAGTTATGGAAGTTTTAAGAAAAATAAGTGAAAAAAACGACAAAATTTACCGATTTTTAAATTTGTAATTTTTGTGGATATTTCCCTCATTTTCGGAGAACGAGGGAAAATTTTTCAATTTTTAAGGGTAATGTCTTCAACTAGATATGATTTGTGATCTTTTGACGTATTGTTGAAAGAAATCGGTCCAGTGAGAGCTGAGAAAAAGTGGCAATAGACATAAAAAAAAAAACACATGGTAAAATACCTTCTCAGCTTCGCATCGAAGCTAAAAAATTATTTATTTATTAATAACAAATTATTTTTTCTTTAATAAATATTAATGAACGTTTTTAAATATGAATATTTTACTAGAATAGGCTTAAAGTTATTAACTTCCTAACATTAAATAAATGCTATTGTGTTACAATTTTATAATTTTAAATACATTTTGACATTTTAACAATTTAACATTTTGTTCTAAAAAAGAACAAAATGTTATAGTTAATGATCCCACAAAATATAAAAAACTCTAAACAATATTTTATTCGATATTTAATAAAATGTATAATATAGAAATGAGTACAATCAAATGATGTTGAAATTTTAAAATATGCAATATTAGTTTCAATGAATATCTAAAATGATAAAAATAAAAATGGGAATTTGAAGAATTATTTTTGTTTTAATTTATTACAAAAATATATAAATTTCTTTAATTTACTCATTATTAAATAGAAATATTAATTTTCTATTAATCCTCTTATTTTAACATCGCAAAATAAACTTAAAAATTAAATACTGCGAAGTTAAATACAACGCTCGAGATGTAGTGGAGTGCACCGCGTTATAGTTTTACAAAACAAATTTTGAGTATAAAGTCTAACTTTAAGTTTAATTTTAAGTCTAAAACTTAATTTTCAGCCCTTTTCTGTGCTTTAATTTTTATATAACAAGTATTACACTAGTGTAAAAGGTTTAAAAACGGACGTTTGCGGTAGAACAAGAATAGTAAAAAGAAACCACTGACCTCAAGGTACTACTAATAACTTGTGATTTTTCGTCAGAGAAACTGTCCAAGCGGAAATTATTCATACCGCATAGGTTAAAGTGGAAAAGTATTATAAATATTTTACTTTACTGTTTTCTTGTATAAGTCTATATGTTTCAACATTTGTCCCTGACTCTATATCGATGATATGGTATAAATACTGAAATTTAGCACTTACATTGCTATCAATTTCACATCAACCAGTAGACAGCAATATTTAAGCTTACTTTTTAAACGAACAAAGTTTTAAGATGGTGAATTTTTACCAAGTAAGTATTATTACGATATTTAAATAATTATCTTTAATTTCTATGTAATATAATTACAGTTTTAGTATTTTATTATTATCACGAGTAATTCCAGAAATTCATTTTTGGGGGAAAATATTTTTTAAATATTATGTTTATCAATTCAAGTTAAATTTACTAATTTTTAGACTTAAAAAAAAATTGTTTTTTTTTTTAGCTAATAACTTTATAATCTCTTTAATAATTAAATTTTTTTTTCATTATTGTTAGCTTGTTTTTATTGCTTTGTCTACAATTGTGACGTTGACTTCAGCTAAACCCGATGCAACATCATATGCTGCTTATCATCCAAAATTCCATAACACTCACTTCGATGGACATGATCACTATGTAAGTAATAATATTGGCATGACAAGTACGATTAGTTACTATACATTTGAACTTATGTTAAGGTATCAATACACGCACTACTTTCATTTTTTTTATTCGTCATAAAATATCAAAATCAACATTTTTTTATACAACTTTAGGCACCTCCCCATTACATATTCAAGTATGGAGTTAAAGATCATCACACAGGTGACGTCAAACATCAAGCAGAAGAACGTGAAGGTGATGTAGTTCATGGAGAATACAGTTTGGTCGAACCTGATGGTCGAATTCGTAAAGTAACTTACACTGCCGACAAACACAATGGATTCAATGCACATGTGCATCACGAACATCATGCTGTTCACCCACACCATTATAAACAGCATCACGAAGAGGAATGAAAATATTTCAAATAATATTTCTTATAGAAATTGTTTGTTACTCGAAATTTTTGTTTTTAATAAAACGTTGTTAAAATACTAGTGTTATTTTACATTACACTTAATAGATATTACTAACTTATTCTAATGTACAAAAAAATCCAACCAACAGGTAACATTCAATTTATTTATTATTAATATACCCTGACAATCTGACTAACGAACTGGCGGTAAGGGCGTAATCAGAGGTATATTTTTACAAAATTGATTTTGTTCAATAAATCGTCAAAATACAACAAAATGTATCTGATTGAATAACTTAATAACAGCATTAGCAAACTATTCTTTCCCAGGGGACATAAAAAAATATATATACGATTTTAGTTTCCCAGTTTTAATGCATTTCTATAGTTTCCTAATGTACTAAATTTTTATATTTCTATGGCCTCTTAATGTTTTTGTTTTTCGTATTTATGAGGTTCCATAATTTTTATTTTTGCTGTTTTATGATTAAATTTTATAAATTAATTTTTTGACTGAAAATAAATATATTTTAAATGTTTCATTAAAAATATTATTTATCACTAGAAAATTAATATAAAATTATAAAAATTCAAACTATTTTTACTATCAGTTATAATAAAATATTATCTAATTTATTTAATTCTTAAATTCTGATTCAAAATACTAACAGCCACATTTAAATAAAAATAAAATATACACTATTAGATACACAAAAATATAAATTAAACAAAATGTATATAAATACCAATTTAAAGCGACTATTATAAATATGGTTTGGTTGGATTCAATATTCAATAATATAGTGTTTATCTATTTTTATCCTTACAAAGTTGAAACTTCATATTAAGTGAAAACTATTAATATTTTAATTGATATATTTTATGATTTTTTTTTTTTTGAAATTAATAATATTAGTACTGTAATTATTATTAAACTATTAATGAGATATTTGATCTTCTTCAGCAAAAATTGTTCAAGTGAACATTCAATGAACAAACCTAACCAAACGATGATAACATAATGAAATAACCAAATATTTGTATTAACTCTAATAATAATGACGAATAGTTAAAATTATGATTCGATTTTAAGATGTACAATTTTTTTTCCTAAACCAGAACATAATATTAGGAAAATGTATGAAAATTTTGGCTTTGAATATGATTAAAAGTCAAAATAAAGCCGCATAAGTGATACATAAGTAACACCACTAAATTTACTTAAGTTTTGTTTTGGAGAACTTTGTCTAAAGTGTCTTTAAAAATACACATCTCTGATAACTTAAGATTATCATCATATATTTGTTTGTTATAGTTTTGAGTTTCAAAGATAAAATGTTGGGTAAAGTGGAGAGCCGCGTCTGGTAGGATGAGGAACAAACATATAAGAGGGAGCGTTAATGGTGATTAAAATGAGAGAAAATAGACTTAGATAATTTGATCATGTTATGAGGAAAGAGAAACTGGAAGCTATTAGAAAAAATATGGAAATGAATATTGAAAGTGGAAAAGGTAGAGGAAGACCAAAAAAGAGATGGAGAGAATTTTTAATGCGATATGGGACGTCTGATGTGGGAGATCGTGTCAGATGGAAGTTTAGAATAAGGTGGCTGACCTCCAGTAGTTGGTATAAAGGCGAGGAAAAAGAAGAAAAAAATTCTGTCACACTTTTTTACATAATAATTTTGTAAAATTAAAATATAAATAATAATATTTATGTATAAATAAAAAAAATAAGGAATAATGTTGTATTAAGTGCATTTTGTAAAAAAAAACATTATTAAACTGGGAAAATAGGAGATCTTTTTTGAATTACAATACCTTTCCAAAAATGGGCAATGGACACTGATCATGACAACTAGGTGATAATATCTTTCTACGCCACTTTTAAAATAAAATAATATAAGACTGCTGAACCTAATACTGTTACAATACAGATTACCTAATTATTTTTTTAATTAAAGATACCTATAATTGTATTGCTTCTTTTGCGGGTGTCCTCCAAGTTTGTTGTAGAAGATATATTTTTTAGTTTTATAGTACCTAAGATATGAAAAAAAAGTGACTACCTACTCGATACCAATTTTTAAAATTATTGTGAAATTGATATGTATTAGTTGTTTTAAAAAAATGTGTTTATAATTAATAAGTTTAAAAAAAAATTTTTTAATTAATTTTTGTTTATAAGGGAAGTTTAATTTTAATTGCTTTGAGTATTTTTGAATAACACATTTTTTGTAATTTTTGAAAAACTAATTCATAGACAGATATTTTACGATGAAAAATAGTAATATACCACCGTTTATATTTTATGAAATTAATTACTTAAATAATAAAAACAACACAGCACAGTGAGGACATAGCATAGTTTGGTCCAATATAGATGATATCTGATAGTGATTAAAATCACTATCATAAAAAACATTTCTATGCAAATCTACAGATAGTGTTTAATTTTACAAAATTGGTGTATTATTCCAAAAGCAACATGATCTCCTATTTCCTTATTTAGATCCTGATTACAAATTTAATGATTTATAAGTGTAATATTTATTTTACATTTTTTTATTAAATTTGAAGTCCGTTTTCACCATGAAGACAAAATAAAGTCCGAAATTTTTTTCTCCATAATAAAGTATATTACATTAGCATTAATTTAATGTATATAAAAATGTCAGTATTTCCGAAACACTTTCAAAAGTTAAGTTAAAAAAGTTATCATTTTGAATCCCTCACTGTGGGTAGGTGAAGGGTCAGATTTATAAAAATATACAAAAAAATAGGTAAGTACTTCCCGTATCCACGTATATAAAAAAAAATTATATTGATTAGGTCATTTTTAAAAAAATTATGACAATTTTAAAAAAAAATTGTTGAAAAGCGATTTTTAAATTTGTAATTTTTTCTTGAAATTTCCCCCATTTACGAGGAAGGAGGGAAATTTTTTAATTTTTAAGGGTAATGTCTTCGACTAGATACGATTTGTGATATTTTGACGTATTTTTGAAAGACACAAAAAAAAACACATCTTAGTAAAATTAATACCTTCTTGCATCGAAGCTAAAAATAATAGCATTGCGTTATTTGATAAAATCATCATATTTCAAAAAATTTAATTTAACGTGTTTTTAATCATTTAGAATAAATCAATATATAATAAAGAACGTTCGTTGTCAAACTATTATAAGTATTATGACATAAGCATTTTTTTTCAAGGTCTCTGGGTGGTTAAAAAAGTTATCTTTTCTTATTGAAGAAAAATAATTTCATATTTTATAATTAACTATAAGAAACATCATACACGATAATTTTATTTATCACTAAAAATTAGTTAATATATACATATATATTTAAGTTTAATTTCTATAATATAGAAATATCAATAAACGTCTATGATTAATTAACTCAAAGCATTTATATTTTTTTATAATTAATATTTACTTTTTACCTAAACTTGACTATATAATCTTATATTACATGAATACAAGATTGAAACAACATTCTAGTTAGAGTACATTGATTTTATCTAATTTTATGATGTAATATAATTACAAATATTTTGGTTAATACTCTAACAGACGTCTTAAAAATTTAATAATAATAAAAAACAAATAGAAAAACCACTAACAACAACTTCTCATAAGAAACTAATTATTAAGATAACGCAGTAAAAATGCACCCACCGTAACACCTAGCCTACATGATCTATAATGACAGAATAAGTTTCAACACTTTCAGTGTATCTTGAGGTAACTTGTCACTATAAATACAAATGGTAAATCAATTTTAATATGTCAGTTGTTATTTATATTTACAAAACAAAGTAAACATTAAATATTTTTGACCGATTATACAATGTCCAACATATTACAGGTAATTAATTATTTGAAACAGATCTTAAAAAAAAAAAATGTTTAAAATGACATCTTAACAATCTTAATAAGATTTATTTTTATAAAAATATATAACGCGCGTGAAAGTAAACATTCTTTGCTAATTTTTTTTTAGTAAAATTTTAATAAAATAACTTTAAATGAAAAACAATTTTACATTTTTTTAAGTGAAAATTCAGAAATATAAAAAAATATAATTTTTATAGTTATATAAATGTTAAATGATTTCTGAAAATAACAATTTTGTTTTTAATATTTTTTTTTTCACTAAAATATATGTTTTATAAGTTACAAGCTAATGAATAATAAGCAAATAATACACATACTTTAGTACTTTTAATTTTTGATCTGTTATTTTGAATGTAATAAAAATAAGAACCTACTTTAGCTCATTTTAATTAAATTATTTAACTCAAAATACATACAAGTTCAATTAGTTGTGTATACGTCAACTTATTAGGCGTATGTTAAAAAAATGATTCACTATTAATAATACCTACACGATTGTTTTAATAATAATTCAAAAACATATAATTACGTGCCTTCAAATCGTTTTTATTATAAACTTAAATTTCATATTCATTTTCTTGACAAATACACCGTATCAATTATGCTAATGATTTATATTAATTTTATATTTTATAGATTACTATGATAGGCCTAACTACAGCCGTTGTTTTTACAACAGCACATCGTGCCACATCATTTGCTTTTTACCATCCAATTTTCCATAACACTCAAAAACATGGACACGATTTTTACGTACGTCAATATAAAGCTTTTAGTTTTGATATATTATTGAATCAAATAAAGGAAAATTTTCTACTGGAGATACGTGATTAAAATTAATTGTTTAAAATACATTTCGTAATTTAAAATTTTAAATAAAAATTGAAAAAATTCATTTTTTATAATTATAATATTATTAATACATACAAATTATTTATTTACACGTATATTATTTTTCCTAATTATAAGCACTTTTGTATTGAACTATTTGAACACTTTTACATAAAACAAAATTTTATATTCTAGGTGAGTCTAAAATTCTTTTATGGGGAACTGACGATTATTATTAGTATTCATATTAACTTATTCGATACTTTTAATATTATTGTTTTTAACGATAGTTGAGGAAAGATCAGAACGAACATTAAAGCACTTCCACTAAATGCTTGTTATATCACAGAACTTACTACCAGTTCCAACTTATTTTCACCTGAAAAGAGATGGTTTTTAATTACACTCTTACAACATTTACCTATAGAAGTCTAGTGATAAATCATATTAGGAAAAATGATCTGCTTTTGGTTTATAATCTTCTAATTTATGATTTTTCGTTTTATGCTTTAAATTCTTACATTTTAAACATTTTATAAAAATGTATTTAAGACCTTCATTTTTACTCGGCAATTACTCCATATCTTCTGATTGAATATTATAATAAAATAAGTTATACTCTCGTTAAAGAAATGATTTTAAAATATATTAGTATTATTGCGTTTGTGAATAAAAAAAAATGTACTTAAAAATAATTTCACCTACTAAAATATATATTAGAGCTAATTTTAATTTAAAATAACAACGGAATGAACGTATAGTTTATAGGCTATAAATCTTAAATGTTTGTGTAACCTTAAATTTATCGAAAATCTTGATACAGATTAACACTTTAAGGTAAAAATTATTATTTTAATCGCTATAAATATACTAAATTTTCAATTATTTTCTAGAGTACTTTTTACTATCGATTTTTAAGCTAACTGATTAACCAACTTATTCCTACCAATATTTGATGTGCAGACTATGTTAAATTATAACCCTATTTTCTGTTCAGTCACCACCCCATTATACGTACAAATATGGCGTCAAAGACCCACATACCGGTGACAACAAAGAACAGTGGGAAGAACGTCAGGGAGATGTTGTACACGGTGGATACTCCTTCATCGAACCAGATGGTCGCATCCGCAAAGTAACTTATACAGCCGACAAACACAACGGATTCAATGCTCACGTTGAATTTATTCATCATTCTCGCCATCCTCATCATTACAAACGATTTAATTGAAAATATTTTACAGTTATAATATTTAATTTAATTTAATAAATGGTTTAAAATATTATTCTGTTTTATAATTAAAAGTTTTAATTATTTTATAGAAAATGTTTACATTTATTGGTTGTGATAATTAATTTGTTTAACGAAATAAGCTTACCAAAAGCTGCCAAACAAAATTAAAGACAATGTAGTTTTAAAATTTTCTTAAGTATACTTATAAATTGTTCACGATAAGATGCTTAAGAAACACTAAAATGTTTGGGTACAATTTACTGGCTTATAAATAAAAACGTTTTGTAATTTACTAAACATTTCTTACAAAAGAACTTTAAATTTGATCTAATTTCAATGATATTTATTATTTTCAATACAAATTCATCTTTTTTATTTTTAAACCTCTTACGTTTAATAAATACATATTATATAATATATAATGTATTATATATATATATATCATATTTAAACAATATGATGTATACATGGTGTATATAGGCTTACTTACATTCAACATACACATTATTTTTGTAAGTTCTAATTTAAAAATAAACTTTCTATACTTCATTATTAGCCCAATTTCTTTATCTGAAATACTTTCTACTTGGTTTTGTTAAAAAAATTTCAGAACTTTCTGATGGGGCTTCAAAATAATTTGTAGTAATGTTTTAATGTATAATTACCACGTGGTTTATGATTGAGACAAAATCCAATAATAGTGTAAATAATGTTTACATTAGTAATCTTGCAAATCTGCAAATAATCTTTAAGAAATATTGCAATAAATCTTTCTAAATTAAGTTTTAAAATTGCATTTATGATCATTTTGGCAATACATGTTTTGCAACTATATTCGATCCATGAATGAACAACTATTTTAATTTATGCAACGTAATTTTAAAACGTGTCGAAATCCAGGTCGTATAATACTATTACTATTTGCTATTTACTATCGTCATTACGTATACTTTTACTCATATCATCACTGTATAAATAACACAGATTTTGATAGTTGATATTTAATGGATAGTGTAAATGAGAATTTAAGGTTTTAGTGTTAGGTAAAGATAGGGTTTTTGCTTGAGGTCCTATAGTCTTTTTTTGACTTATCACATTCTCATATTAGAGCCAAAGTTATACACTGTTTAGAGAAATAATTGACCAATAGAAGGCTATAGCCTCTTTAGCCCTCCCTTGGCTACATAACTGGATAAAGCTTCAGTTAGATAGTTATAATAATTTTAATAATAAACTTTTATTATTAATAATAAAATATTTTTAATGTTATTTTAAAACACCAACAATTACAATCTGAATATTGTTAGTTCCCTAGTTTTTATTTTATTTCAATTGAAATAAACCATATATGCTCTATCCCTAGTATGTTCCAACTCCAATGAATTGTTTATTCGAATTATTAGCATAAATGGCGATAATGTCAAAGAAGTCGATTAATTACAAAATGTTGTCAATTGTAGTTTGTTTGTGACTTATCAATTTTATAATCATTGATAATATGTAAGAATTAATGAATTGTTCTGGTTACGTAGCGTTAAAACAAATTCCATGCTATAACTGTTTACTTATATCTTATTATATAATAGAACAAGGAAAAAAACGCTTTTCTGGTAAAATTACTTAGCGTGCTCGGATTTTCAACATTTTTTTTTCAACGAAAGTACTCGGTCACCAGACTCCGGAAAAATTATTGGCGAAGGTCGGAAAATTTTTGCCGCTCGCCCGCGAGCGTTTTAAAATTTCGACCGTTTTCGAGAAAAACGCTCGCTGACGCCAGCGTTTTACGACTTNTTATGTATTATTATTAGGACACTATTTTGCATTTGCCCTATTTTTATCAAGGAATGTTATATGTTATATATAAATTTCATGAAGTTATAATTATTTAAGTTTGTACTTTCATTATAAGAACAGTACTAAGTACAGAGTTAATAATTTTCTTTTTTCTCATATATGATGTATGAGACTATGAGTTTATCTTTTGAATTGGGGATCGTCTATGAAAACTATGATGTTTATCGTTAAATCGCAGTTGCCAATATATTTATCAAAATTAAATTTTTATTTTTATTTTTAATATTAATTTTATTTTAATTTAAATTTATAGTGTGCCACTTATAATAACCTGCTAAATTTTTTTTTAATTATTCTATATTATAAACACAATTATTATAATTAGATTATTAATAATTTTTGTGTATAACAGGGGTATATTTAAGAGAGATTGGCCCCTCCTTGAACAAGCGCTATCAATATTTTTTTAGGCATCTTCTAATATATAAGGACCTAATGTCCTTTTTTTTCATCATTACTTTAATTTTAGCAAAAAAATTTCTATAACATGTTTAACAAAGTAAAAATTATTAAATTTCCTCCTAAAATAATTTTTGAATAGGCCTAAAGGGAATACCTCATTAAAAGGCTTCAACCTTATACCCAATACATTTTACTATATTCTCTTTTTGAATTTTCCTGATTTTAATAATAACATTTTTAGATATAGTTTTCTATAGTTTTCACTGATTCTGAAGTAATATTTTTTCTAAAAAACACTTATCGTGCCCGGCGTAGCCGGGTACTTCTACCGGAATCAGTAGCCTACTTATGATGACGGCCCGAAGAGGCTTACGCGCCGAAGGCGCGTAAGGCTCGAAGGGCCCCGGGTCTGGGGCGGAGCCCCAGCTAGGCGGAGCCTAGTACTATTTAAAATAAAAATATAATGTATTTTCGAGAATAATAGCATTTATTTTCAGTATTCATTTTATAACTGTTTTCTTATTCTAAATTCAAATTATTTTTTAATTTAGATTTAGAATATTTCAAATATTTAAGTTATACAAATCACATGTATCTATGATTATTGCGACATCTAAAAAATATTTTAAATTCCATAAATACGGAGTTTAATACAAAAATAGGGTTGTCAATTTTAATGATTTTTAGGAGAGCCATTTGAAAAATCCGTATTGACTAAATTTAAACTTTGAAAATATTATCATATGGCTTTCTTTATAGTTTTATTTTTATTTTTAATACCAAAAAAAGTCTTACATTTGAAACATTGATTTTAGGCCAAAATGACTACCGCATTCGCTATTACCTCACAAATATTACATAAATTAAGAATTATAATAACATCCATACTAATATAGTAAAATATAATGCATTTAAATTGTAACATGTTATTATAATTATTTTACATTGTAATTAAAAGAATATATAGATATATTTTTAAATAATTATATACTAATCTGGCTAGTTTAAATTTTATCAGTGAACATTTAGTTTTAATTAATGTCATCTGTGTAACTTGTAATTTGTTTTCAAAACTCTATGGGTGTTCTATTATAACAAAATTAGTTGAAGTTTTAACTCACTTGCCTCAATAGAGGTATATCAAAATTGCAAGTACAAAATTTTAAGTGACTAAATAGAATATAAATAGACAGTTCAAAATTAAATTAGGAACAAATTATAAAGGTAAGTTACTGGGAAATAATTTTGTATTAATTGCACTGCGCGTTGTCCCAGTTGGAAAAAGGGTCATGTCCTTGAGAGACAGGCCTATCCAGAAATAGAATGAACACTAGTAGACAAATTATTGCATGATCAAATACGTTTTTTATAATACAAGCGTTTGAATTGTTATTCCAACACAGCATTATCATATTGGTATGATTTTTGCAACCCATCTATTTAACTGTCACATACATGTTATATTAATTACATTTATGCAATATTTTTTAAGGTACATGTTATAAACGTATAATAAGATGAAAATATAAAAACGATTTGTTTCAGATTTCTTATTTGAAAATAAAAACAAAAATATTGTATCATTCATATCAATGTAAATATATTTTTTTATCAAATAATGATGTGTAACTGCGTTTTGTAATTTTATACGTTTTTATATACAAGTTGATTAAAAAAATCGTTAGAATAATATTATGTGCATGCTAATGATAGGTAATGTCCAAGATAATAGCAAATCTAAATCTAGCTACTAATAGGTTCTGTGTTCTATAAATTGTGTAATATAATATGTAACATTAAAGTATTATAAAATTATTACAGTATCCTAATTGTCAACTAAAAAAGATTACAATAGATAAATGTACTCTAAGTTTTAAAATACATTTTTTAAATATTTTAGTAAAAATCTAGTTGAATATTATTAAAATTCTACGATATTAAATAAAAATAGAGTGCATAAATCTTATGTTTTATTTCAAATAAAATAACATATTTACAGAAAGAAAATAATTGAAAACTAAACATTTGCTAAGTTTTCCCCATACTATATTACTATATATGTGATACTAAGATTAAACTAAAATGCAAGTGTTGAATGGGTATAATACTCGGTATTTATGAAATCTACTCTTATTGACAATCTAAAGACATCTATTACTATATTAGATAACATGAAATATAATAACACAACTATTTGTAAAATATTCTTATAGTTTGCAAAAAAAATAATATACTTATTATACATACACACATATTTTAAATCAAACCTTTTGCAAAAAATTTAAATTAAAGTAGTTTCATAAACACTTAATATTATAAATAAATATAAAAAGTTATGTTATAAAATGAAAATAAAATAAATATATCATACAAAGATATAATTTTCTAGTAAATATTTATAATATGTTGACTTCACTATATTTTAATTTACCGTATACTTTTAATTACAAGCGTTTAAAGGAATAGTTTGCTTCAAAATAAGTGTACACATTAGTCTCATTATGCATTTTACTTTTAAAAGAAATGAGTTATACAATTAGCCTTGGCTTTATTAAAAATTTGATACATTATACTATAGCGTATCTTAATCCTAGAGTTTATTTATTTAATAGATTTATAGAATTAAAAAAATTTAGCAGTAATGTAATTATTAGGAGAAATGTTTTTAATTAAAACGTAAAACTCACAAATAGGATATTAATAAATTTCTACTAACATGACATTATTTACTTATAACTTATAAATTAGGACATTTTTATTTTGTTAAAAAACATTGCAAG